GGTCCCGCCGCTCCGCCTTCCCGCGCTCCTCCTTCTCGCGGCGCTTCCGCTCGCGCTCCGCCTCCTTCTCCTTCTCCTCCGCAAGCCGCTTCTTTCTTTCCTCCTCCTTGCGCGCCTTCTCCTCGTCGAGCGCCTTACGCTGCGCCTCGCGCCGCACGCGCTCCTCCTCGCGCCGTTTACGCTGCTCCTCCTCCGCGGCAGCCTGCTTCGCCTTCACCGCCGCCTCCTCTGCAGCCTTCTCCGCAGCCTTCTGCGCCTCCTTCTCCTCCTTGGCCTGCTTTTGTTGCCTGAAAAACAAGGGAATGAGCACTCCGCCGCTTTTTGGAGAGGGGAAAGAGAGAGAGAAAGCGTACCGCTTCTTATCCTTCTTCTTCTGGTTCTGCGTTTGCTTCTTCGCCTCCTTCTCGCGCTCGCGCTCGTCCTCGTCCTCGAGCTCGCGCAGCAGTTGCAGCTGCCGTTCCTGCGCGACGCGTTCGCGGTATGCCTGTGCAGATAAGTACACAGATACACGCACTGGGAGGAAGAGCGCACCTGCAGGACACGCTGCTCGAACATGCGCGCGGCGAAGATGCTGAACATGCGCTTGCCCTCCTCCATTTTTTGTTCCTCCGTCATGACCTGCTGAGAATTGTTAGCATCGGCTCTTAAAGAATCGACAAGGAGGATGGAAGCGGAATGGCAGGGAAGAACTGCAGAGCACGAATGCCCTCGTCTCCGGTACGTCCCAAATTAGGTACCAAAGTCCGCAAAAGACCTCGCGCCGCCCCGCCCGTCCGATGAAAACAGAGAAAACGCACCTCCTCCCCTCCATCATCCTCGTCCTCCTCCTCGTCCCCGCTGTCCCCATCATCGTCCCTGCAAACAAAAAAAACGCGTCAGAGGAGTGTCACAACACTGGGTAGGGTTATTTAGATGCAAATGCTCTCGCCACTCCGAAAACGCGGGATGCCATTCGAGCTCGATGCCCGCAGCTCGGTACCCGCCCCCAAAAAAAACGAAAGGTAGAAGGCAGGACGAAGGAAGAAAACAGATATGACGAGACGAAAGCACTAACCCACTCTCCCCACTCTCCTCCTCCTCCTCTCCCTCGCTCTCGTCGTCGCCCTCCCCGTCCGACGAGCCGTCCCCGTCGAGCGAGGCAGCGGACGAGGCGGAGTCGTCCTACAAGAAGGGATGCGTTAGTATGGGCTTTTGGTTTTTGGTTAGGTGAAAAGGAGGGTGAGACAACGGGGGAGAAGGAATGGGATGTGGAGGGGAGGATGGGAGCAGGGGGAGGAAGGGGAAGAGGGAGGAGACAGTGGCACAAGTCTGCTCGGCGTACGACGCCGCGTAGTGGTACCAAGCTCGCAAACGCGCTCCGTTCCCAAGTCGGGCCGTGCCACCTTGCCGCCTGGAAAAAAACGCGGCGCGTAGAGAAAAAAAGACACAGTCTCGCTGCGCGTACGGTCCCCCCTCTCCCCACACCTCACCAAAAAAAAAGCGGACAAAAGAGGGAAACACACCTCATCCCCACTAACGCCCCCCGCCGCCTCCTCCTCGCGCGCCAGCCGGCGTTCAGCCTAGAGAAAAAAGATCAGTCGGTAAGTGGTCACAATATTCATCGAGTGTGGAAAGAGGAACGAAAGGGAGGAAACGCGGCTTGGGTGCATATGCATCCGCAGCCACCGAGAAAAAGGAAGCCAAAGCAGGGAACGGTCACAGACACGGAAAAACGCGACCATATCCAAGAAGAAATCGGCGCTCCGAACACCGCCCGCGCGAAGCCCAAGCCCAACTCCGAATCCGAATCCAAAATCCACAGCTGGGACCACAACGAACAAAAACCGGACGGGACGCCCCGACCGGGTAGTGCATCCCATCCTTGTGAACGGACGTGCAGAAAGCGCGCGCGTGCGGCGGGCCATAGCAAACAAAATCGACGAATCCAAATCCAGATCCGGGATCGCAAAAGCCTTCGTTCGTGGCGCGCAGCCCCACGCCGCCCGCCTGGACGCACGAGTCCGAATCCCGATTCAGAATCCAAATCCAGATCCGAATCCAAAACCGAAAACGCCCGATCCTCGGGTCCGCCAAAAAAAAAAGCCCATCGAAACGAGAGAAACAGAAGCGAGAGAAGCAGAAGAGAGGAGAAACGCACCAACTGCTCCATCATCTCCAAAAACTTGCGCCCGTCGTTCTTGAGCAGGTCGTCCGCGACGGTCAGGATCGAGGTGGGGCCTAAACGAGTGTAAGTCAAGGAAGCAAGGGTGAGAGACGGATTGAAAAAAAGAAATGGGGGCGCAAAGAGGGACGCGTAAATGCGCAGAAGCGGGGCGGGGAGCCCATTTACAGACTGACGCGGTCACACCACACACCGCCTCATTGCCGCCCGCTCACGAAAGTCGCAATCGCAGTCGAAATGTCGACCCCGCCGAAAGGACCGAAGAATCCCGAAGTGTAATCGGGATGTCCCGCCCCACCCCGAGTCCACGTGGCAGACGGGGACTCGGGAGGAAAGAGCAAAGACACGTGGCCCGGCGTTGCGCGACGGGGACGAGGCGGTCGTCGACCACCGGCGCGAAGGTAGGAACCGCGGTGAAAAAAATCCGAGAAAAAAAACGAGTGAGAAACGGCAGGAAAAACACTCACCACCAACGCCCGCCCCCACCCCCGCCGCGATCTTCCCCTTCATATCCACCGCGCCCCGCCCCCCTCCTCCTCTTCCTCCTCCCGCACCAACCCCCGGCGCCCCGCCCCGCCCGCGCGCCGCGCCCCGCACAGCCGGCGCCGGCACGCGCTGCGGCACCGCCGGCGGCCTCCCCTCCCCTTCGTCTTCCAGGTCATCTGCGTCGTCATCTTCGTCGGCATCGGGGTCGTCCTCGTCGGCATCGGGATCCTCGTCGTCGGGCTCGGGCTCCTCGTACACGTCGTCGGGGTCCTCGTCTTGGTTCGGCGGCGCGCGCGGGACACCCGGGCCCAAGCCTTTACGTCTCCTTCTTCCCCGCCGATTTTTTCCTTTCCCCACCCCTCCTCCCCCATTCACATTCCCATTAACATTCGCAGGATTATTGTTGGAAAGCGTAGGCGGCGGGTAGCCGGCGACGACGGCGCCGTAGCGGTCGACCTCGACGGAGCCGGGGAAGGGGCCTGGCCCGGGCGGCGGGGGGAGGGTGCGGTTGGAGGAGAGGTATTGTTGTTGGTAGAGCGCGTACTGCTCGAGGTCTTCGTAGTACGCGTCGTAGAGGACTTGGAGCTCGTCTTCGATGGCGGTGCTGGATCGGGGGATCAGTTGGGTTCTTTGTAAGGATAGAAGACAATTGGGAATGGACAAAGGCGGGGTGGATGCAGATACGGGGACGGGGACGGGGACGGGGACGGGGAAGCAGGGAGGGACGGAGGGACGGAGGCGAGGAAAAGAGAGACGGATGCAAGACATCTCCAGAAAAACGACCCACCGCTTCCTCCCACACACCGCACACGAACAGCTATGCTTCTGCTCCTCCTTCATCTTCCTTAACACCGTGTCCTTCTCCACCCGCACCAGATCCCTCCTCTCCTCCTCCGCCAGCGCGAGCCAAAAGTCGCGGATGCGCTCGCGCTCCTCGCTGCTGCTCGTGCTCCAAATCTTGTTGTTCCCGCCCGCGCCCGCGCCGGCGCTGTTGCCCGGGTGCGCGGCGGCGGGGTTGGCATTGGCGGCTCCCTTGCCCTTGCCGGGCTCGGGCGGCGGCGGGGCGGGGACGGGTGCCTTTGCGGCGGCGCGGGCGCTGCGGGGGGGATTGGGTGCGGCCTGCTGGTACGCCATGGGCTTCTTGCCGATGGACACGCTCGACGGCGGCGGCGGTGGCGGCGGGGCCATGTCTTTCTCTTTCTCTCCTCGTTGCGGGTGTGCGCTTTGGCTGCTGGGCACGAGCGACGACGACAACGCTGAAAAGTATTGGTCAGCTTTTGATCGCGGAGTTTCAATTAATTCCCAACAAATAAAATAGTAAAATATTCACCTGGCCCTTTGCCCTTGAGCGACGCAGCGGCGGGCACGAGCGCCTCGGCCACCTCCCGCACGCGCGACGCAAACTCCGTGTCCCCGAGTCCGCCCGGGCCTTGGGATAATGCGCGCCAGTACGCGGCGTTGCCCTTCTCGTCGCCGTCCTCGCCGTCCGAGTCGTCATCCAGCCCCGCATCTCCGTCCTCCGACCCGCCCCCGAGCGTGCGGTACAGCTCCTTCGCCGTCGCGAGCAGCTCGTTCGTCGCCGCCAGCGCCGCCGCCGTCAGCCCCAGCCCGTCCGCGTCGATGTCCGCGTCTGCGTCCCCGTTGAGCTCCTTTTGTTTCTCCACCCCGTTGGGCTGCCTCGTCGTGCGCTGCGTCTGCCGCTTCTTGCCCATGTCGTCTTCGAGTCGGCTAGCACAAGGCAGTGGAATCAGCATCGGCGCACCTAGCCCGAATCTGTATACCACACACCTGTATGCCTCTGAATCCCTTCTATCCTGGTCTCGTCTCGTCCTCCTCCCGTCTCTTCTTCTCGTCCTCTCTCTTCGTCTCGGAGTCTTGCACTCGCCGCTTGCTTCCTCGGACCTTTCTGCAAGCCTTGCGCTCGAATCCCAAGTCTTGTGGCCTGCGGAGTGCAGAGTGTTGATACCGGTACGAGCAGGAGGAAGTAGCAAGGGAGACTTAGACGCAGTTAGACGCGCGCTGCAGCCAGAACGCGCTTCGGCTTTCGGCTCAAATTGAATAAATCAGTGGCACTGCACGAGTCAACACGCGCAAATGCTCACGTCAGCTTTCTCTCTTATCTCTTATCTTGATCTTGATCTTATCTCCCGCGGGCATCTTCTGCATTCGGAATCCCGTGGGCGCATCAGACGCGCCCCGCCCCCGCTGTTTGGGCACATATGAATCTCACGCAAAAAAAAAAAGACACGCGTCCGTTATTGGCGGGATCGTGAACGCGAGCAAAATATGAGGCAAGTCAAGGAAAGTCAGCCCATCAAAAGAAAACTCAAAAACATTACAATTTCAAGCCATACGACCCAGCCTCGATTCGAACGAGGAACCTCTGCACAACGTGTTGAAAACTCGGTATTTTAAGCAGATGTGTAACCATTACACCACCAGGTCTCCCGTGTCTTTCGTTCGTGCGAGCCCAGCTTCTATCCTTCCTTCGTTCACACCAAGTCAAGATGTCTACCAAAAAATAAAAAGGTAAAAATTTCGCGCGCTGTGTTATCATACGACCTGACCCCGATTCGAACGAGGCACCTCTGCATAAATTGTTCGGAAGACGAATATTGAAAGCAGATGTGTAACCACTACACCACCAGGTCTTCCTTGCCCACTTCATATAATCTGAACCGAACCCATCTACTTAGTTACCTCGATGAGTAACAAAAAGGGTGCTCGAAATTTTTCAGGACCCGCCCCCGATTCGAACAAGGGATCCCCTGCACAAAGTTTGATGATTACCGGTTCAATATGTGCAGGTGTGTAACCGTTACACCAGCAGGTCTTTGATTTGAAAGCGTAGACATGAGAAAGCTGTGATAAGATAGATCATGTGCTCCCTCTGTTCTATTTTTCAACCATGCATCTCCTACATACTTACTCACAAGCGAAAAAAGAAAGGAGCTGGAAAAGGGCGACAACTAGCAGCAGAAGGGGAACCACAACCCCCCTCACAAAAAAGTTGACCAGTCCAATATGACCTGACCTCAATTCGAACGAGGGACTTCTGCAGAAGCTAGTTTTTGAAGATCAAGATCCAGCAGATATGTAACCACTACACCACCAGGTCTCCTTTACTTTCCCTTCTTCCACGTAGTTCCGGCTAGTAGTTCCAAATATCACAAAACTTGGTGAGGAAAAAAGAAGTTTGTCGCAATAATAGGACCTACCCTCGATTCGAACGGGGATCTCCGGCACATACTTCGACGACTATCAGTTAAGATGCGTAGGCGTGTAACCATTACACCAGTAGGTCATTCCTTAAACACTTCTGAACATGAGAAAGTGGTGATAAGATAGATCATGCGCTCCCTCTGTTCTATTTTTGCAACCCAAACATACTTAATCTGACCCACTCCCAAAAGACGTGGGGAAGGGGGGGGGGGGAATGATGCAGTGCAGTGAGGTAGCAAAACGAGTGTCAAACCAGCCGGAAAAAATATCATCAGATCCACATTGAACGACCCCGAGTTGAACTCAAGTTCAAGTTCAACTTGAATTCGATCTTCGAGTTACAACTGGCCGACAGAGAAGTTAGAGAGCCAGAGGGATGTGAAGTTTTGCGAAGCATCATTCCCGGCGTAGGACGTGGTTGAATGGCTTTCGGTGCACCGAGAGCCGAGAACATGGACTTCGGAACACTGGGCCGGAGGCCGTGACCCCCATCTCTTCGCCACTCTCTCAACACGCTCCTAGGCAGAATTTCCGCGGTCAGTCATGTTCTTCGTTCGAGGCATGACGCAGCGAAATCGAGGATTTGAAACGAATCCAAGTTGACTTTTTTAAGTTGGTGGCAATTCGGCGGATCGGATGGTTGAAATTTCAACTTGGACCAGACGCGCTGGCAGGAAAGATTTCTCCGTGATCATGAAAGCCCACGGAGCACCGTGTGAGCGTAAGGGTACCCAAAATTGACCAATTCAAGTCATTGCCGATCCCATTTTGAACCCACGAACGAACCCAGTTACCCAATTCTTTGGACCCGGATTCAGAACAGCGAGTGCGACAATCTTCAGAATGTTGTGGTCCCTAAAATTGGAAGACATGGCCAGTAGCTCCGTTTCGAAGTCCTTCGACTTTCGAGGGCAGTTCCTTTTCCAGGACGGAAAAAAAAAACCGGTGCCCCGTTCGGCGAGACACGGAAGCGTGGCGCAATTCACAGCTATGCGCAAGATAATCACAGCTTGAAAAGATGCGTCTGGTCGTTGTTCATTCGATACAGGATCCCGATACTGATAGTGTACAAGCGTATTCACGTTACATAATTGAAAAAAAAAAAATCAACTCACCTTACTTGGAACATTTTTCCAAGAACCGCAACAACTCTTTGACCACCTCGCCACTTTGCTCCTGCTGAACCCAGTGCCCGGCGCCATCGATGAGGACGAAATCCTCCATGTTTTTGAGGGCCTGATTCTTCATCGTATTTGCTACGCCGGGCCACTGGTGCGTACACCAATCCTGAGCACACGAGTCAAAATTGCCGGGGACATTATTATTTGCGCTCACTTACCTGTTTTCCAGCTAGGAACATGGCAGGAACCTCAATCTGTGCTCCGGTGAAAAGCTGGCGGTCAGAAGACCACTTTGCGCTAGTTGACATCCGGTACGCGTTGAGGCCACCTTGAAATCCGGTCCGGCTGTATTCTGCAACGTAAACACCCAACTCCTCCTGCGTCAACCACGCGTTGCGCCCGATTTCCTCGGTAGATGGCCCAAATCCATGCACGGCCTCGGGCATAGTCTTGTGCAGAGGCATCAAATAATAGTGAGGCAGCTCCGCCATGGCAGATGCCTCTGGCGCCAACTCGTGCGGGTTGTTTCCCTCCCAATCCGCGCTCTTGACGTGATAATATTCTCGCATGAAGGCGCGGAGCCCGCCCGGTGCGTGCATCAGATCCGCATTGGCCTGAGGGGTGGAATAATAGAGCGTGTAGTGCTTCCGCGGGGGATCGAGCGCCGCAAACGCGCCTGCGATTTTATCCAAAAGCGGCAGAGCGGATCCACCACCGGGCGTGAGTTTTGGAGGCCCCGCGAATGGTGCGCTTATCAACACCACGGACTTGAAGACGTCTGGGCGGATGAGAGCGCAGTACGCGGCGACAGAGGAACCAAAATCGTGCCCCACGACAGCAGCCACAGATTGGTACCCAAGGGCGTCCACGAGTGCCAGGACGTCTTTCACCAGGTTCGTCATGCGGAATGGATTCAGATCGTCTTCATACTTGACGCCAGTATCCGTGTGCGAACTTTTGGTGCGTCCGTAGCCTCGTGAATCGGGTGCAACGACGTGGTATCCTGCATCCGCCAGAGGGCCAATCACTTTTCTCCAGGAGCTTCAATGGGCTCGTAAATCCGACCTCGTGGGGTACCCAGTGTATACTCACTACGCGATTTCAGGGAAACCGTGCAACAGAATAACGAGGGGGGCTGAAGTGCCAGTTGAGTTCTTGGGGAATGCCTCCAAGATATGGTAGTCGAGGTCGTTGACCGGCAACGTGCGGCGCGATTGAATGGCAGGGGACAAGCCTGGCCATTTCGACGGGTCGGACATGACGGTTCGGGACAAACGAAACCCGGTTCAGGCCTAGTCTCGTTCCCGACGTTATAGGGCAGTCGCTCGCTGCGCTCGCGGGCAGTCCAAATCGGGGATGTCGAGATGATGAGGAGGTGAATTGATTGATGAGATTCGGTTGGGGAGCACTGCCCTATAACGTCTGGTGCATCTCGCTTGAAAACCATGCGACTGTGTAACGCTCTCATGAATTTTATTCCTCGCCCTCCCTGCAGGTCCCTCTAGCTTCAAATGTGTCGGCTTTGCACTCCCCCATATATTCCCGCCCTAATAGTACCCATTTTGCGGCGCTTTCCCGTAATGATTACTTAGAAACAGCTCACCAGATCAACATGAGCGGTTGTTGAACTGTGCAGGCTAGAAGACTTGATCGGTCCCGAGAATGTACCCATACTCCCAGGGTATGTTCCAATGCCTCGCGCATTTGCATGGTATTTTTCTGAGAGCCTTATTGGCGGAACGAGTAATTTTTTCGTGAAGTACACATAATGTCGAGTTCTTCAAATCACTCGCTATCGACGTGTTTCTTCCGGTTTTTTTGAGCCCATTGCATTGGCGACCACATTCTGGGTTAGATCTGAATTTATAGGCATTCAATGCAGCTATGTCGTTGAGATCCAAGTTAAACAGCGGTATGTGACGGCTGTGACACGATAAGCAGTCGCATGGTTCTCAAGCGAGATACACCAGATGTTATAGGGCCCGCTCCCCCAACGAATCTCATCAATCAATTGACCTCCTCAACATCTACGCATCCCGATTTGGATTTCCGGCCCGGGAGCGCAGCGAGCGGTGAGCGAAGGCCCTATAACATCTGGGGACGAGATTAGTTCAGGCCGTAAGTCCGCCGTGGCAGCGCTTGGTCAGCGCATCACTTCATAAGGTTTCTTTCCTTCCACCATGTTGATTCAACCCTTGGGACTATCTGCAGCCCGGGAGCCCCGTCGAAAAGATAACATGCCTCTATCTACAACAGTATTCTCCGCTGGTGGCTGCCCCACATGTGCTTTATCCGAGGTCGGCACTGACCGCGAAAACCCGGTGAACCCGCCGCAAGGCGGCCTTGGAAACCCGCTACATACGCCGATCGGACGGTGAGATGCGCGGACTCTTGTCTTGGACGCCGCTCTCCGCAAACCCCATCCTCTGACTTGGTCCCATGTGCATACAATGAACAGAAACCTTCCGCCGACAACCCCAGCTTGCAGTCTACGCCTTTTCAAGCTTCGTGCGCACCACTCCCCAACAATGTCCCTCATTTCCATGGCGGCATATTTTTGTTCACTGTGGCCCCATCCTCCATCGGCCATTGGGCTGTGGGCGTGAGCTATGATGTTCGTCACTCTTGGCGCTACTCGACTCGAAGTCAGGCTTCTCATGACGCGGCGGGCCGCGGGAGACGACATCAGTGACGCCGCCACTTTGCCGCCGATTCAGAGGCAGTGGGAAATTATAGCTATGAACGAGACAGCCGTCAGTCGAGGCGATGGGAGCCGAGCCCATCATTGTGCAACAAGGCGAGTACGAGTTAGCGCCTGTCTTCGGTATCCCGAATGGCTGATACGCGCTAGCAGCAGAATCCAAGTCGTATCTTTAAATACCGCCATATCGTTTCATCCCTCGCCTGGCCCGGGCGCACCGATCGAGTGAAAATAGGTTGTGTATCAAGATCTGTGCACCTCAAAAGCTCTTTCGGGATCAGCGGTGACTCGCGCTTATTATGGTGATGTTTCGAACTTGAAAAGAGTTTCTTAGCGAAGTTCACATCTCGACTTAGAATGAGCTATGTCCTGGATCGGGCATTTAACATGTCGTGGAGAAATAACACTCAGCGTTGTTTTTTTACGACCTCCAGAACAGGAGTAGCCAGCCAAGCGCTGCGAAAATCAACGCAATCTAGCGCTGGAACTCCAAAATTTTGTTGAGCTCGGAACTCGCCGTTGAGCCATACATATGTCCCCAGAGACCGTCCATCTTTCCTTAGGAGGATCATGGACACCAGAGGGTGCGTGTTTGCGACATTGTTCCACTTGAAGATATCAGTCGAGGTCACCATTAGCTTTGGCCCCTGGGAGCAACTCCTCGCGTGCATTTCTCGGTCACACCGACGATGCGAAAGCCGTGTCTGTTTTCTGTTGTGTGAGGATGGCCGCCAATCAAAGCTTCGACTCGATACTGAGACGGCCAGGGTCTCAAACAACATATCACCC